GGCCTGCGCTTCCACCCGGCAGTTGCGTCACATCCGTGCGGCGCACAGCAATGCGGCCGGCACCGCCTGTGGGTGTGTGGGCTGCAGCAGCAAACAGGAGGGGGAAAAGGGTGCGCCGCCCATAGGAAACTGCATGGAGTGGCGAAGCAATAGAAAAAAAAAGCAAAAATAATAAGTCTCTCAGAGCACAGGAGAGAGGAGGATTGTCCCACGGGGACGACAAGCAAACTGGGCAGAGAAAGCGTATGCGTCGTCCCTGCCAGGGTGGGTGGGTGTGTGCGGCTGCTTCGTCCTACCACTATCCAGCAGCTCAGTCAAGGGCAGCCGTGAGCAGCAGCGACAGCAGCAGCAGAGGTGCACGCACAAGCAGGGCGTTTACAACAGTGCTGTCTGTGTTGCTTTTTGTGTGTTTCGCAGCACTCGGACTGCTGGTGGTCGTCGTTGTGCTTCCTTCGCTGCCGCCGGTGGGAGGGGTGGCGGAGTTGGGCGTGCCGGAGGGGCGTTGTGGGGTTGGGGAAGTGCCCGTCTCTCCGGATCCACGTGTCCCGCTCTCCGCTGTGCCTGCTGGCGGGGCCGCAGATGGTCCTGGTGGTTGCTCTCCCGCGTCGGTTCCCTTTTCTCCCCGCGACGCACCCTTTGCGGCTGGCTCCCTCGCGGGGATTGTTAACGGGCAAACGCCTGGCTTGCCAAGTGCGCCACCGTCTGCGGCAGGAAGAGACGGACTGCCGGAGGTCGGAGTATTCGCTGCCGCCCACTTCTTGTGCACTCCGCTGCCGACATGCGTCGGGAAGTTCATCGTGAACGCGGTCCGAGCACTTTTGTCACTGCCGCAGCTCGCCTTGCAGTTCGCAGTCGCGTACAGCGATTCGGCGGAGAGGCAGAGGGACTCACTGACACCGCCGTCGCCTGCTCCGTACTGAGACACGTCCACCGAAACGATGCCGACGGTAACAACATCCTCCACCTCTGCGACAGGGTCCTCCCCAACAATTGTGTAGTCAAGACCTCCCACCGCCGCCGCACACTTCTCCCACGCAGCCGTGCTAGAGAAGCGCCAACTTAACTTGTTGCCACTGTCCGCGCAGGACACCTCCACCGACACATTCACCGGCTGCCATTCTTTTCGCAGAACCGCAGGCGGAGATGTATGCTTTGCAGTCGTAGCAGCAACACGAGCCCCCGTCGCCCCGCAGACGGAGGGGGCGCAGCAGCCGCAGAGCAGCGCGAGGAGCGCCAACGCGCACACCGCACGGCGCCGCACCGTCAGCGTCATCGTAGGCAAAATTTGTGGTCGTAGAGTCGTAGCAGAGTCGCTGAAGTCGGCGGAGAAAAAGAAGCAAAGAAATAGAGGGAGGAAGAGGGAGTGCAGCGGAGACAGTGAAAAGAGCAGGTTGCAAAAAGAAAAAGTCGGCAGCCGAGCAACTTCACGCAGCCACACACGCAAGAAAGGCACGCACAGCACTGGCAGTCATCCACGACGGAGCAGCGGCCCACAGCTGACCCCCCACATGCACGTGCACACGGGAAGTGGGCCCGCAGCCACCACCCAAATGAGGCGGCTCCCGCAAGGAAAACGAGTTGTCACAGCGCACTCCCCC